CACGGCTGCAACAACAGTTCTCTGCAAACGACTCTGCCTCTGTCTGGAGGGGGCTGAAAGAGATAACTAATTACAAGCCCAGAGCACCTCATTCTACAGACAATCTCAAACTGGCAAACGATCTGAACAACTTCTATTCACGCTTTGAAGTCATGGACTCACATTCCTCCATCCTCCACACCAACCCCAGTCCAACAGGTTTAACCACTTGGGACTGCCCTCGACAACCCCCTGCTATCTCTGTACAAGAGGATGAAGTAAGGAGGCTTTTTAAAAGGCTGAATACACATAAGGCTGCAGGCCCAGACCTTGTGTCACCCTCCACGCTGAGACATTGTGCTGGAGAGTTGGCTCCGGTCTTCACAGGGATCTTCAACTCTTCTCTGGAGTCATGCCACGTCCCAGCCTGTTTCAAGTCCTCCATCATCGTCCCTGTCCCCAAGAAGCCACGTGTCACAGGACCAAATGACTACAGACCTGTACCTCTCACGTCTGTAGTCATGAAAACCTTTGAACGCTTGGTTTCATCTCACCTCAAGTCCATCACCAACCCCCTCCTGGACCCCCTGCAGTTTGCCTACAGGGCCAACAGGTCTGTAGATGACGCAATAAACCTGGCTCTTCACTTCATCCTGCAGCACCTGGACTCCCCAGGAACCTACGCCAGGATCCTGTTCGTGGACTTCAGCTCCGCATTTAACACCATCCTCCCTGCTCTGCTCCAAGACAAGCTCTCCCTGCTCCATGTACCTGACTCCACCTGCAGGTGGATCACAGACTTCCTGACAGACTGGAGTCAGTGCGTGCGGCTGGGGAGAGCTGTCTCGGACACTCGGACTATAAGCACAGGATCTCCACAGGGCTGTGTGCTTTCCCCCCTGCTTTTCTCCCTGTACACCAACTGCTGCACCTCCAGCCATGACTCTGTGAAACTTATTAAGTTTGCAGATGACACCACCCTCATCGGGCTCATCTCGGACAGTGATGAGTCTGCATACAGGAGGGAGGTGGACCGGCTGGTGACCTGGTGCAGCAGCAACAACCTGGAACTCAATGCCCAGAAGACAGTGGAGATGATTGTGGATTTCAGGAAAGCCACAGCCCCTCTGCCCCCCCCCCCCCACCACCACCACCTGTAATGATACCCCCATCACCACTGCAAATTCTTATCGGTTCCTCGGCACCACCATCACCCAGGACCTCAAGTGGGAGCCGACCATCAGCTCCCTCATCAAGAAGGCCCAGCAGAGACTGTACTTCCTGCGACAGCTGAAGAAGGCCAAGCTGCCGGCCAAGCTGATGGTGCAGTTCTACACGGCCATCATCGAGTCCATCCTCAGCTCCTCCATCACGGTGTGGTACGCCGGGGCCACTGCCAGGGACAGACTGAGACTGCAGCGCGTTGTGCGCTCAGCTGAGAAGGTGATCGGCTGCAGCCTTCCATCCCTCCACGACCTGTACGTCTCCAGGACTGTGAGGCGAGCAGGTCAGATCACAGCTGACCCTGCTCATCCTGCGCACGGACTGTTTGAACCACTCCCCTCAGGCAGGAGGCTTCGGTCCATTCGAACCAGAACCTCCCGCCATAAGAACAGTTTCTTCCCCTCTGCTGTTGGACTCCTGAACACTCATAATGCTACCTCATAATTTCTGCTTTGGTGACATTACATCTGTATTATAATTGAATACTCCATCTGTACTGTTCTCTAAGCTTTTTTATTGTTTTCTATTGTATGGGTGTACATATGGTTATGTTATGTTCTTAATTTTACTTTATTTGTGGGTGTACACAGGCTTATGTCTTATGTAATGTTCTAATTTTTACTTAATTTTTACTTTATTTTACTTTATTACTATTCGCACATTATGTCGAAGCAAATTCCTAGTTTGTGAACCTCGTTCATTGACATGGCGATAATAAACTGATTCTGATTCTGATATACCGGGGAAATGTTAGCAGTATTATTAGCAGTACAATGGATAGAAGATGTCAGACCATTAAAAACAATAGTATGTTCAGATTCAAGTTCATCACTTACAAGTTTACAGCACAGCCACTCAGACAGCAGACCAAACATTTTATTAGAAATCCAGCAAGCATTATTCAGAATAATGATGATGGGTTGGGAAGTTGTATTTCTGTGGGTACCAGCACACACTGGGGTTGAAGGAAATGAAGCAGCAGACAGGGAAGCAAAAAGAGCAACAAAACAACAAGTTAACTTTATAATAACTACAAGCAAATCAGAAGCAAGAAGCATAGTTAAACAAAAACTGAAGGAAAAGTGGCAGAAAGAATGGAATGAAGAAAACAAAGGAAGATGGTATTATAAGATCCAAAGAAGAGTGGGAGAGATGAGAACAGGAGGGAGAAACAGAAGAGAAGAGAGATTAGTAACAAGACTGAGATTTGGACACACTGGACTGAACAACACATTATTCATACTACATAAACACGAAACAGGAAATTGTCAGTATTGTGGAGAGACAGAAACAATAGAGCATGTGATTTTAAGTTGTCAGAGATATGAGAGAGAAAGAAGACGCGTGATGGAGGAACTTAGAAAGATTAAAGAAACATTTAATATCACAAACATACTACAGAAAGAGTCAGGAAGTAAAAGTGTAAAAATTTTGATAAGGTTCTTCATTAAAACAAAGCTGATCAATAGGATATGATTAGGACAGACAACACATACACAAGTAAATAGAATTTATTATTATTATTTTTTTTTTTAAGCATTCTGACCCACACTCCATACCAGTAGGTGGCGTTAATGCACACCATAAGTTGTTTGCCAACCGCCAATAAAAAAACAAGAAGAAGAAGAGAGGGGCAGCGCAGTGGCGGAACGGCGGATGCGTGCAGCCACCGCCCAGGAGCGGGAGGTGCGTAGGCCAGGGAGTGCAATGGCCTGGTACACAACCACCACTGAGAGACAACAGTCAGGGACAAGGCAGTCAGCAGAGCAGCAGTTTGGCAGAGACTAACAGCATGGGGATTTAGAGCAGAGGCGAGTGGAGGAGAGTACGCACATAGGAAATCAGCTAAGCTGGTCGGCACAGTGGATCGTGCCCGGCAGGAGGGTGCAGTCGTCCAGGTCTGGTGTTGAGGGCGGAGGACCGAGTGTTGGAGATCGCTGGAGGTCACTGGAGGTAGAGATCGAGGTCGTCATGGAACGCTGGACTCAAGGAGGTATGAGTGCCGGGTGAGGTCGGGACCGTGGAGGGACGCCGGACTCTGGGTGGAGTGCCGGGAGATCTCTGAAGGTCGAGACTCTGGACCACCTGGGAGCGCCGTGCAAGGCAAAAGGAATTACCCCCCCCCCCCCCTTCCCCCCAGCTAAGACTGCTTCTTTTCCCTTAGACTCTTACAACCGTGTCGCCTCTTTGTTTAATCTTTGATTTTACAGACTGCTCTTAATGACTGGGTTTTAACATTTGGACTGCTTCCAGCAAATTTCCTGGTTGTAATAAATTATTGTAAATCTCTACTGTCTGCTTTGTGAAACACTGCTCACCCCGTGATACGGACCTAGTCTTATTCCTAGTTTAACTAGGTGGAGTTGCTGATGTTAGTTTAACAATTTTCTGTCTGATTTTAAAAAGTAAAAATAGCACCACTTGGCAGCCGACATAAGCATTCTTTCTAACCTGAAAAAAAAAATCTCCACCCCTAATAGTTCAGTCATGGACAACTTGATTTAAAAATCAAAAATGTAATTAAACAACACAACTAAATCACAAATAAGTTTTACAGTTAAAGTTGATCATTAATAAAATTTTGATTATTAAAAATACAAGAGAAATGTTTGATGGGTAAACATGTGATGTATGTTATGTTTCAAAACAACGGTGCCAATTTGTCAAAATAACACTGATCAAAATTACAAAAAGGCAGTCCAATTTACTTACATTTTTTTAGTCTTTTCATTGTACAAGAAACAACCGAGAACTGAAGCACATGAAGGCAGTGGCAATGGAGATAGTATTAGGGAGGGGGTGGGGAGCGGTGTTAGGATACTTGAGAGAAGTGGTGCTCTATTCACACAAGGAGAGCTGTTGGTCAGGCTACGTTTTGTTGCTCTCTATGTTTAATCTATCTGTCTATGTCTTTCTGGATGTTTCACAACCCATTAAAATATACCAGAATGCAGGAAATGGCATCTACTTTATCCAAAATAAAATATTATGGGGGTGGCTATGCTGCAACATAAATTAATGGTAACTGGTCACTTGGTCTTAAAAAATGTAATTTTTTATAATCAGTGCATTAATGAATGTGTTCATTTCAAAATGTTGGAACTAATCCTTTAAACCCAGAAAATAATAGTTCAGCATTTAGTTTATAGCAGCAGTTCAAAGGTTTATTGTTTTTCATTAACAAATTAAATGATTTCACATTTAGAACGGTTTTCATTTAATTCAAGAACTGAACGAGTCTTTTTGTCTTTTTGCAGCACGCTGTCTCAGTGTTGCCATGCTGTGGTGGCTCTGCTTTATCCCTTCACCTGGCAGCACACATACATTCCTGTCCTGCCTCCGTCCATGTTGGATATAGTCTGCACCCCGACCCCATTTATAGTGGGCCTCCTCTCCAGCTCTCTTCCACGACTCAAAGATCTGCCTTTAGAAGAAGTAAGACAGGCCTTTTCTTTTGTTTTCTGATACGCTGCCTGTGGCGCTCGACTCTGGACATTTCCTGCACTGAACAATGACTCCAGGAAATGGCATCACTCTCTCTGGTTAGGTCCTGTTGGTCGACCTCGACAACAATCGCTTCCTACGTCAGGTAGTAACCATGGAGACAAAAAGATTGCTGTAAAACCTGTTTGTAGCTACCAGTTTTGTTTTGGAAACGTAATGACCTTAATGGATGTCCTGTACGTTCATGTTTATTACTATACATCTGATTTTATTTTTTACAGCTGGATGATGAAGACCCAATTCTTCCTCACAAACTGCAGGCAGCTCTTGAGCATGTGCTGGAAAAAAGGAGGGATCTGGCCTGTGACAAAGATCTGCCCAGTGGTGATTCACTTAATCTTGTTTAAATTTGTATCTATGTTCGCAGTAATCTGTTGGGTTATAAGAAATGTAAAAAATACTTGAGCCATTTTTAAAATTTTCATAAAACCTCATTAATCTAGAACATAAACACTGATCGATACACAAGTTTTCTGCTGCTTTAAGCTTCTCAAAGAGGGTAGAGGTGTGACTGTAGACCTGATCATCTGCAAACTTACTGAGTCTTATGAGCAGTTCTTCCTGGAGTTATTGTGATCTTTAAGGCTCTGAAAGTCATGTATGAATGTATTGCAAGATTTTGAAGCATAGATAGAATCTGAAAGCTCAATTTTGATCTGAGAAACGTGTCTTTGGTGCAGCAAACTTTACTGCATACATTCAGCAGCAGATCAGTGAATAACTTGTCTCCTCCTTGTCTTGAACTTTCATCCTTTCAGACTCCAGCTCTCTCAGCGCAGTGGTCTCAGAGGCCTTTGTGCGTTTCTTCGTGGAGATGGTGGGCCACTACTCAATCTTCATGGGAGGGACAGAGCGGGACGACGAGTCCTTCTTTTCGCCCACCTTAGCCAGCCCCTCTTTTTCTTCCTCTCCCTCCTCATCCTCATCCTTTCAGCGTGAGGCCTTTCGCAAAGCAGTCACTTCCAAGAGCTTGAGGAGGTTCCTGGAGGTGTACATGGAGACCCAGATGTTTACTGGCTTCATCCAGGAGAGGGAGCTGCGCAGACAAGGCCTCAAGGGTAAGAAGATTTGAAAATTAATAGTTTTTAAAAGGTCACACATTTAAAATAGTCTGTCTGCCTCTTTTTTAATTGTAAAATTCTGTTAAAAATCTAATAATACAGCACTGTGTAAAAGTCTTCAGCTATCCCTTATTTCTTTAATGTTTGTTTCAAAGGAGGTTATTTTTTTGTATTCTTTTGAAGGAGTTCCAATTGTTCTGCAGATTTTCTGAAGGTCTTTCAAGTAGTTTTTTTTTTTGGAGCATCAGTTTCACTTGTTTTCTTTCTGGCACCTAACTATTAAAAAGAAAAAAAAATGTTTTCTGAGCTTCTTACCCTATCTTTAAGGCTCAGCCACCTGAGGAGGAAACTCATTTCAGCCATTTGTAGCTGTGATCCGGTTCTTTTGGACCATAGGTGAGGGCTTGAATGTACACAGACCAGTAAAGTAAGAGACTTGCCTTTTGGTTCTGGTACTTTTTCACGAGGAGAAACTGAAGCAATACAAGTGCTGATACGGCCTTGATCCCAAATAGACTCCACTCATCGCAGTCCCTTCCTGCTCAGCTGTGAATAGCTCTGAAGGCTCCTGCTCTTGGATCTGAGGGCTGAGAAGAATGAGCCCCAATAGTTAGAACGTTCACTCTGGTACCCTTTGGAAAAATGGTGACCACCACCTCAGTCTACCATTACACAAGTTTTGTCATGGTCCTCAGTGTGAAATTGAATAGTCACGTCAATTATATGTTCTAGAATTGCGCCGCTCAAGGTGGCTGCATGTTGGAGTAGCTCTGTTACTTTCATTTTGAAATTTTGCTTTTGGAAACTTTTATTCCTCTTTGTCTGGATGTAAATAACATTTTTTTTGGATGATGGTTTCCTCTGGTATTGGATGCTGTGCAGCTGGAAGGATTTTTACTGAAACTTTTTTAGTTTTGGACATTTGTTATGATGTGTAACCATGGCAACAAGACAGTTTTCTATAACCAACAGCAGCTGATTAACATCTCAAAAGCTCAAATAATATCTCAACTACAGCCCCAAATCTCAAATGAGTTGAAAGGATGTTCTGTGGACACATTCTCATCTACCTGCCAGCTGTGCTCGAGTGCCTGACCACTGATATCCTGGAACTAACAGGAAACATGGCTCATGAGAGTGGAAGGACAGGATCGTCCCTCAGCACCTACAGTTGACTGTCCGCAGCAACGAGGAGCTTGGCAGACTGCTGGGAGGAGTGGCCATCACTCTGGGAGGAGTTCTGCCCAGCATTCGGGTGGTCCTACAGCCCGGGGGAACCGAGAGGCCAGCTGAGTCTGGGTGGACGGATGGACGGCACCTGCAGCCAGTTTCTTTGGATCCACTGTGGGATGGACCTTTACAAGAGATCCTTCCTGCCTACAGCCATCAGCATCTATAACATCTCTTAATGAAATGAGGATGACGAGTTACAACAACAAATAATTTCCTTTTGGGATTAATAAAGTATTTTTGAATTGAATTGAATTGAATACCAGCCCTACAGCATCCAGAACCTCCAGCATCTCGTCACTTCTGTAAATTCACTCCAGTAAATCTCATCCTCCTGGAGCCCTGCTGCCAGGATTCTTTAATTAGACACTGCACTGCCACCACATAGCCTGCACTGAAAACAAGTGAAAATACAGCCAAAGTCCGAAGAAAGTCTTTGAACAAAGAATAATAAGTTTAGACCATTTTAATTTGGCTAATTTAAAGATAAGT